ATCAATCCTGGCAAATTAATATCCACCATGCACAATCGTGCAAGAAGTCTCGCGAGTTAGCTTCTTGATTTTAAGAGCTAAACTGTGATTGGCTGATTAAAATTGTTTGGCCGCTCGGGTTTGCAGATGTTATTTTTCCAGAGAGAAGCGACAACTGGAAATTCGTCTGTGTCTGCAAGCTAGGTAAAAGTAGAATCAATCAGTTTCTCTGGATACATGTATTTCAATTTTAGGAATATGGTTGTCAGATCCTTGCATTCTTGCCTGAATACATGTAGCTCCAGGAAAGAAGTTAACCGCTTAGCGTGATCGATCATTGTTCTTTAATTATAAAGTGATCATTTATATCTAATGTCTCAATAGCTTTGATAGTGTAGTAAGATTCCTTATTGGTCTTTTTTGTATGGTCACAAGTGTTAAGGCGGTTATCGATCTTGACGATTGTCATGCCTATGGAGAGTTAGCCTGTTGTTTTCTGCTGTTTCCATTGCAAATTGGATTGCTGTGTATGTGTGTTGTTCACTGTTGCAAGAAAATTAGTAGCAGTGGTGAGGTCAGGTACTAGAGTGAAAGTATTGTTGACATATCTTTTGTAGAAATCCGGGAGCTTGATTTCATTTGCTGGCTTTTCCTTGATGCCTTAACTATGATCTCACTTGCGTAGTGTTTTAAATGGCTCAGTGCAGTTGTTGCCTTTAAAGCAGGTGGCCCAGATGATATTCCAAACTGGGTTTTGCGTGAATTTGCTGTTGAACTTGTATATAGCTTGTTTGTTTGGTCTTAAATACATCATTTATTACTGGACCTATGCCTGAAATTTGGAAATGGCTAACATCAGTCCTCTTACCAAAGTTAACAACATATATAGAGCATATAGGGAAAGATAATAGACCTATTTCCCTTACCCCTACTTTATCTAAATCGCAGAACAGTTTGTTGTTCAAGAACATGTGAAGCCAGCTGTACTGATAAGGGTACACCACAGCCAGTTTGGTTGTATCCTAGGTTCCTAGGTTCCTCTACTACGCATGCCTTAATTAGCATGTTCCATAACTGGACTTGCGCACTTGATGGAACTGGGGACTGTGTAAGGATCTTTGTTGTAGATTACAGGACAGCGTTGGATTGCTGCCTTTCTCTCCAACAGGCAGCAAATTAAAGAGTCATGCAAGCTAGGAAGCGACTTCGTCTCTCAATGGAGTTCAGTTCGTGCAGGGGTCTCACAAGGGACCTGGCTGTTTCTCATTCTGCTTAACGATCTTAGTGTAGATACTTCGAGTGGTCTTTTCAAGTATATGGACAATACAACAGTCTACAAGTTAGTGAAAAATAAAGGGAATGGTCATGTGCAGCACATCCTTGATGACGTGCCTGCATGGGCTACTAACAACATGTTCCAACTCCACCCCTGTAAATGCGTTGAACTAAGGGTAACTTTTGCATGGTAGGTCAGGTAGGCTAGCCTGGAGCCATTCTTGTGAACAGAATCTGCTATTTCTTTTGGGGGGATAACCAGGTTCAATATTTATTAATATATAAGTACTGTGTTTATAATCAACCTTATCTTAGTAGTCCAACCTATTAAATCAAGTGGCTGAGATACCCTGCTGGCTTGAGCAGATTTCCCTTTTGATTTGATTTAGTCAACTTAGTTTCCTCCTACTAGGGCTGCACAAGCAGTCATGAATACAGTGCAGACTGAAAGTAGTCAAGGAGACATTAAGTGTGGTGTAGTAGCTAGACCACATTTTGCTAGTTCTGTACAGAAAAGTAACAATAATTATAGTTCACTACTGAAAGAAAGTAGCTCTTAATTTGTGGGCATTATTGACTCATAACGTGCCTTTTAATTAACTTTTTTACGTGCAGCCAGGTGCCGACTAATTATGAAGCAGATGCTGTGACACAGGATGAAACAAAGTGGAGAAGCAATGTCTTGTTAATTTTTAAAATCAATTTTTGGAATGGCTTCATCTTCATCTGGGTAAGCATAACAAAAACGTCTTGGGCATACACACATAAGATTCAGCTTAAGTACAAACATTGGGAGTTCAAGATAGTCACAATAATGGCAGTCACAGATTAATAAAGCATAGTCAAGATTCCAATGCATGTGTGATGCCACATGATTTTGAGACATCTGGGAATGTCTTGTAAGTGACCACTTGACACAGTCATGGTGTGGTATCTTTGCTGTATGTATTACGCCTGCACTAAGAGTATACAAAGAACTTTCAGTGACAACATGGAACTTCACATAAATGTAACTTAGAAAATTGAATACTGACAATAAATTCTCTGCCACAAAGTAGATAAGTTGGAAACTCCTCTCGGAAGAGCGCCCTATAGATAGATTCTCATAAGGGACTGCCTCCCATAAGCGACCGCATAATCTTTGCATTTTGGGTGGTCTCTTAAGGCAGGTTGGACTGTATTGTTAAATATACAGGCCCAGTGTTGTTACAAAGGCTCATTATTTTGTTCTTGTAATGTGTCTTCATTAATCTTCAGGACAAGTCACCTTGGTGTGACAGATAATCAGAAACGATGGCTTGTCATTGGAATAGCACTCAACAAGATCCTTGTGCCACAGATCCGTCCTTTTGTAGAACTAGAGGTTGATAAGGAATACAACAATCTCAAGACCAGCCACAATATTCACACACAAAGTACATGTGGTCGCCTTCAAAGGTGGCCGGCAAGAAAGTTTTTAAAGTATGAGAACATCAATGGTAACAGTCTTCACCCAAAGCTTCCTGGTGGAAAATACAACATTTCCTTGTTTGATTGTAGAGTGTTATCTCACATTGACTTTGCCAAGTTGTATGTTGAAAACTTCATGGTCAAGTTCAATACTTTTGATGACCACTGTGATGCTTCAGCTGTACTCACACTGCTTGGTGGTGTGCCTGTGTTCTCACCTACCGTGCAAGCTGCAGCTAGTGATGTCAGGAATTCTAGGAATGACTGGGCACACTGTGTCTTCAGTAAGTGGGATCCTGTTAAGTTTCTGGAGAGTTTTGTCAAGATGGAGCACCTGGTAAGAGTCATGGCTCTACCTGCTGCAGATGAAGCTAAACTCCTTGGAGAACTGAAAGACTGGGAAACTAAAGGTAGCGGTCTTTGTACATGCAGCTAGTTAAAACATGAAAATCAAATAATATATTGTATTGGTACAATATTTAGTGTTTTTTACCTTTCTTAGCTGAAAAGTCCTGTTTAACTTAATAGCACTTACATTATATATGAATACTAAATAATATGCTTACCAAAACTAATCATTAAATTAACCTTAATGTACACCTCCCACAGAAAAGAGAAAACTATTCCCAACAACGTTTGCTTCATGCCTTACCCTGCCACCTAGAATAAGATGCTCAAACAGTAGAATTGTCTCTTTAACCCATGATGTTTGCCCAGATAAGTTGAAGAAGAGGTGGTCATGAGGTCGTGGTGTTCTTTAAGTAAGGGATCACCTCTCTTCCAAGAAACTGTCCCTGGATTTTTATGATGGTCTTTTGTGAAGCTGTTCGTGGTAAATTGCTGTGTCAGGTATTAGTCTGTAATCTTGACTGCTTTGTTGTAGGGACTTTGTTGTGCATGAACTCCCCCATAGACCCGGCATTGCTTCAACTTGTTCAGAAAGAAGTAAAATTTCTACAGGATAATGTGAACAACTTGTCTGCCATAATTCGTGAAGAGATGAAACAGATGGTGGAAAGACTAAAGACCTTTCAAGGTAATCTTACTTAACCAACAACAACAACAAAAACAATTTTATTCTTTGTATACAAGAGTTAGATAGTTTGCCGCGCAAATAGCTGGAAAGCTAGTCGTGACGGGGCAAGACAAGTACATGAATAACATAATTATCTACTAACTAAAAAACGATAACCTTAAACTATTGGAAAGCCTTGCAGATTGCAACTTAAAATAAATAAAACAAGAAGTTCAATGATCTAATTAACTACACAGCGCTTACTGACGTACTTAATTTATTTATTTAACAATGCATTTAAAGATGAGGAGTCACTGACTCTTAAAGGTGGATAACACAGAAAAGGAAGAACGGACATTAAAACGTTTAGCAAGTGTATCTATTTACCGACTTTTTAAAAAATCATGGGGGTTTGACCATAGTTATCCTCTTTTTCTAAGTTATCAAACCCTTCCAGCCCATTTTCATTTTGTGTCGTTATTTGCAACATAATATTGAGGTTTCTGAACCTTTATTTTACTCGTCAGAGTATCTGGAAATTGTGGACTTTCTGCTTTTGTTTTGTAGAGGATGCAGATCAGAGGTTTGGAAGTTTAGAGACTCGCACCGGTCAAGTTGAAGACCGAGTACACAGTCTTGAAGGTAATTTCGAGATAAGTACTGATGGTCCTGTGGGTTACGAATGTTAGGTCTTCAAATCTCTTTTTCATTTGAAATACTGATCGTGAAAATTCTAACCTGAGATCAGGCTCAGTTTTCGTTTCGCTTTGTAATAACATTCCGGCGGGCAATTTTAGCGGTAGCCGTTAGAGAGAATGTATGAGAACCCCTAAAATTGGGCTTGATCTCACGTTATGAAAATTCATTTTATTTAACATTTTTAGGGGATACCGTTCAGATGTTTGGAAATCTCGAGAGTCGTACTGGACAAGTTGAAGACCAAGTACACAGTCTTGAAGGTAGTTTCAATGTGTCAATGAAATCTTTTCCAGTCTCATTTACAACAAGAAGTTAGCAGATCAGAGGTTTAAACGAGTTAAAGACCATGCGCACAGTCTTTAAGTTAATTTGGAGATGAAGCAATAAGCCCATTCCTTTTGAATCTAGTTTTTTCATACTGAATACGACCCACCCCGCTGTTGATATCTGTTCTGTGCAAAAGCAGTAGAAGTTCTTGTTAGTCATCTATCGATCGTCCGATTTGCGACAACTAAGTGACTCTTACTTTTCAAATGATTAGTAGGATATTATTTTGTACGCTAAGTTCTGAAAATTAAAAATGTACTTCCAAGTCGACGTTTCCCCTTCCTCCTTTTTGTTCCTTTTGCAGCAAAGTTTCATGACCTGACGACAAGAGAATCTGCTTTGTCAAACGCTTCTCTTCAAGACCCACTGATGACATCTGACGGTAGGTTAACATTCGCGTCTACGGCAAACGGGAAACCTGAGTTTGTACCACGTGACTTAGTTTTCCATTTACTTAATCGTTTACTGTTCATTATAAGCTTAACTCTACAGAAATCGATAGATTTACGCCAATGCTATTCATAACAATTATTTTAGCTGTTTTTATCTGCTCATTTCTCATTTTGAGAACTTCCAAACTTGAATCTCACGTTTGCTGTTTGCTGTAAACGCAATGCTTAACTCTCTGATAATTCAAACTAATTTAGAGTGAAATTTCATCTGCTACTAGTAATGAGAGAATAGTTTAATAGCGTTGCATGCAGTTATCAAAAGTCATCAGATGACATTTAATCTTTAATTTTTTGGAATTAAACACCATACTTGCCAGCGATTTTCGTTAGTGATAGTTTTAGCAGTCTGAAAATGGTTTGGCAATCTGTTTGACAAAACGTCGTAATACAAATGGTTTTCGTATACCAACAGGGACAAACGAATTAAAACGCTGACCTAAATAAGGAGAAATTAAAGCATAATGTTCTTTCGTCAGTTGTTAAATATGTTCATTTTTGTCCAGTGTCCAAATGTTTTTTTTTAAGCGTGGATAAAATTTTATGCCTTATTTCTATTTTTTGTTATTAGTCAATCCCGAGAAACTTGTGGAACTTATCAGACGAGACTTCAAAGGCGCTGTGCTGTGTCCCTTTCCATGGTGTGAAGATGAACTACAGCTGAAGCTATCGAACATCTTTACAAGATTACAGATAGTTAGTAGAACAAAGGAACGTTCACAACTTACGGATGACGCCGTCAATATGACAGAAATATTCAAGTCACATCCAGACTGTGACAATCCAAGAGTGGTACTGATTGAGGGGAATCCTGGGATGGGCAAAACTACGTATTGTCAGAAGCTGGCATATGATTGGTCCGTGGGGGAAATTCCACCTGATGCATCATTTCCTGAAGTGGAAATATTGCTTCTGTTGAAATGCCGCCACATGCACATGAAAACCGCTGACATCGAGGAGGCTATTGATGATCAGCTGCTACCACAAGATGCAGGCAAGAAGGAAAAAGAAGACTTCTTTCACTTTATTCGCTCCAATCAGTCTAGAGTCTTGCTGGTTCTTGATGGTTTGGACGAATTACGTCAGGAGCTGCTTCCGTGCATTCAGCCATTGATTGAAGGCAAAATCTTTTCCAATACCTTCCTCGTTTTAACAGCGCGACATGAAGCGGGAATAAGACTACGGCGATACTGTGATACGCTCCTGGAAATCATCAGATATACTAATGATGATGCGGACAGTTACATCAAGAAGTATTTCAGCAAGCACAAAGACCAAAGCCTTGCTGAAAAAATGATTCAACAGCTGAAAATCAACAACAAAGCTCAGGGAGTTAACGGCTAATCCACTAAATACAGCTTTGTTGTGTCTTCTGTGTGAAGAGAAAAACGGAATTTTCCCCTCCAGTAGAACAAAGATTTATGATGATCTTGTTTCGTGTGCTCTCAGAAGGTATTTTACAAAGAGCGGCGTGTCTTTGGGCGAAGGTGATCCCTTGGAGAGATGTTCAGACCAGCTGCATAAGTTAGGAGAAAGGGCATTTGAGGCACTGTTGAAGAATCAGTTGTATTTCAGTCAAGATGACCAAACAAGTCACCCCACTGATTTCCTACAGTTACGTTTTCTTTCTCGTGAGCTTAGTGTGAGCAAAATCAGGCCAAGGCCGTGCTATGCTTTTACTCACAAAACGTTCCAGGAGTATTTTGCTGCCTTTTACTTAGCCCAGCAGATCATAACTGGAAACGAAGGAAAAGCCAAATCGCTGTTAGCTCAGCTCAGTCCTATCGACAACTGGCAGGTGTGGGAATTTCTCATTCCAATGGTATCAAGCAAGAGCAGTGAAATGGCAGTTTTTGTCGTGTCACGTCTGTGTTCTTTTTTCTGTCAAGAAAGGCCACGAACCACAATCGACGCCATTGCTGAGTCCGATGTCAGATGGGACCTGGAGATCTGCGAACGTAAAACTGGTGACTGGACTAGATTCACAAAAGAGAGATGGAGTGATAATGAGAAACTTTTAAGCGATGTGCTCACTAAAGCACTTCATGTCATTAAAGAGTGCGAAGATGGTGAACATAAACTAAAGGATAACCAAAGAAAAATGGTACATGTACTCTCGTACTGCTTTCCTGTGAGAAAACTGAGCCTTGCCCAAAACAACAACTATAATACCGTTTATTCTGAATACTTGAAAACTAACTGCTCTCTGACAGTTTTAAGTTTGAAGAATGGCGAGTTCGACGAGTTGTTGTTAGCAACAATCGAGGCAGCTCTGCTTCGTAAACGAAATCTAAAACATTTCAATTTAGAGATAATGAATTTTGAGTTTATTGGCCTTAACTTCTTAAGCTTACTTTATGCTAGAGAGATCAGTTTGGATTCAGTTTTCCCCTGTTCTTATGTAAATAGCGCCATTGCAAATGTTACAAAGCGAGGGGAGTGGATGGAGAATGTTGGTGCCGATGCACTCGCGAAGTGTCTTCAGTCGTATCGTCTCTTAACACATATAGAATTTAGAGGAGTCGTTCTCCGTTGTAAAGGAGCCGCAGCACTCGCAGAGGTTATTCGTACGAGCCCCAGTTTGACACGTATAAGTCTTCGTGATTGTGGCATCAGTGATTTAGGAGCCATGGTAATATCTATCGCTCTGGAGTCAAATTGTACTTTAACCCATCTAAGTCTGGCGCAAAATCTGATCCACGGTCAAGGAGCAAATGATCTTGCATATTATGGTCTAAAACGAAATCGCACTTAACAGTATCTTGATCTTTCTGATAATGACGATGGTGATTCAGTTGCTAAGCAGCTTGCTTTTGCTTTGGAATCTAATTCCTCTCTCACCTATCTGGATTTAAGTCATTTACGAAAAGGTGATGAAAGATCATGCTGTTCAGTGGATTCTGGTGAAATCTCTCACATTGTTGTTCGCTCTAAATTGATTTGCCACTCGGGCGCGTTAGCAATTGCAAAAGCCCTTTCCTTGAATCCTACGCTGACATATTTAGACCTTTCATTCAATAATATCAAGCAGGCTGGAGCTGCAGCACTTGGAGTGGCTCTCCAAACAAACTGCTCTTTGAGTCATTTATACCTGTGCGGCAATTTGATTGGTGATTTGGGAGCAACATCCCTTGGGAAAGGTCTGAAATCAAACTGCACACTAACTCAATTATATCTGACTGAAAATGGGATTGGAGATGAAGGAGCAAAAGCCCTTGGAATGGTAATGCAATCAAATCACAATTTGACCCATTTAAATCTACAAGTTAACCTTATTGGTGATGCAGGGACAGCCGTCTTAGCACAGGCACTGGAATGTAATGGTGTTCAATTGACCCATTTAGATTTGGCTCTTAATAAGATCAGCTGTGTGGGTGCAGAAGCCCTCGCGAAAGCTCTAGAGTCTAACAGCTCTCTTAAGGCTTTAGAGTTGGGGTACAATGCGATCGGCTGTACGGGAGCATCTTCGTTTGGAAAAGCGCTTCGATCAAATCGTACTCTAACGCACTTGCGTGTAACCGGTAACAATATCACTGAATCTGGAGCCGCAGCATTGGTGCATGCTCTGCTAATTAATAACAGCTTGATCTATTTGAATGCGGAACATAATCCAATTAGTCCACTCGAGGCGGAAAACTTAAAACGAGATATCCAATCGCATTGTGTTATTTTTTTGTAGAGACTAACTGCTTAAATGATTATATCTACAGTATCTATTTTATCTATTTTAGTTCAAGTAAAATTACCTGTTGCAGAACTTGGTCACTAGTTCGGCTCGCTGGTTGGCAAGCTATCCAAGCGTTCATTCAGATCACTAACCTTTGAGTGCGATCGGGCGAAGCCTTCCTAAGTTAATTGAAACTTCTTTTAATTTCTCTAGTCCAGTTATTTCCAGTTAATTTTCACCAGACCAATTAAACTAGGAATGATTTTCTCTTTCGCACTCAAAGTTTTGTGATCGGAATGAACGCTTGGATGATTTGCCATCCTACGGCCGTTGCTAAGTGGTATCCAAGCACGTGATCAAGTTCTGCACAGGGTATATTATTAATGGAATGATGATGGTTAGATAAAGGGCGCTTTCCATTCAGTCGAAATTTCCGGAAATTTCGGTTCGGCAGTAAATGAAAAACGTTTCGTCGGTTCGTCCTCTGGAAAATTTCCGGAAAAAGTGGAAAATCTAAAAAGGTAGGCCGTTTTCCCGGTTGGAACGTTCCGAACGGAATTTCGTGTTTCATTTACACGTTTCTCGTACTTTATACCAGTTTCAATTGTTAGACTCGCAAGCCATCTTGGTGTCCCATCGGGTATAACGGGCTCGGCGCCGTACGGTGATGTACGATCAAATAGAACAACTTTTTACCTATCGGAAAATCCATTTTTATTTCCATCGAAATTTCCGGATTTTTTTATCTAAATGGAAAGCGCTTAAAATCACATATCGTTACTGAAGATTCTTCCTGTATATATAATGCGCCACAATTATCAGCTTAGAACTTTCCTTGTGTATTTGATCAGCCTTGGCACCAGTTTGTAGATGCAAATAGTAGATTCTATTTGAAAAACGATGCTCTTTGAATATACTAGTAATAGTTGACACTACAGCTACCCCCGTTCTGTATATTGTCGGTCAATAGTATTCTTGCTGGTTGTCTAGCTCTTTGAAATATACCGATTCATAATGAAGATTTTCACACATATTCCATACAATAGGCAGGATAGGTGAGATAAATACAGGAAACGCAAGGTTTCATGCACAGTTTCAGCTCGATTTTCACAGCTTTCATCAAAACATGCTCAGTTTCGAGAATAGTTTATTCTAAACCATGAGAAAAGATTTAATTAGAAGTTGAATTTTTCGCTATTTCTCTTTCCCTTTTTACATTCAGTTCATTTTATTTGCCGGAAAGTAAGCCTTAGAAATTAAAAGGACGTTTGATCGATTCACGCTAGCGCATTCTAGTCTTCTTTGAAACTTTATAACGGAAGGACATCTGTGAGCAGGGAATAAGTCAGCACAGAATTTGATTGTCGGCGAAATGTCCATCAATCTGCTAGTGATAAGCTAGCCGTTGTTCACTCGTCTTGCTTGTTTTGGGCTGAGTCTTATTCCGGTCGAAGAGAGAGAAAGAGTGTCTGGCAAGATTTCCAATATAAATCAAAGTTTTGTGAACTCGTGTCTGGGAAATTCTCTAAGTGTTTATATATCTACACAGTTAAACGCACCGTATAACCTCCCCTGCGCTTAACGAGTGTCTTTTGGTCCATAACGTTCAAAACAACTGCTCCACAGGATGTCACTGCGTAACGCAATAGAGTATTGAAGTATGACTGCACAATAAATGTCACAAAATGGACCTGAGCGGTCCCTTCGGGATTTTCTGTCTTTACGTCATCCTAACCATTTCGTACTTGCGGGCGCAAACAATAGAAACGTCAACATTACCCACCGATTCCTCGCGGCTCCAGTTCGAACAAATCGAGATTTTTTCTAGTATACTGACTGTATATTTGAACTGTAAGTACTGTCCTTAATATACGCGCGAGTTACTTGGGTGTCTCCTCGGGATTTCGCCTCTGGGCGAAATCCCTGCGGGGGCAATAATCATTTCGAGTCGTAGCTAGGCATAGATGCAAGATCCTTGCAAGTAGTTTAGCTAAGTTTATCTAGTTTAACGTGTTCGTGAGAAGGTTACGTCAACATTTCAGTGCGTGTTCTCCCTCGTGTCCCCTGTTACGCTAATATGCGTTTCTTAAGGAATTTGGCCTGAGGAATCTCGAAAGATTTGTCACCCAACGGTCCAAAATACCTGAAAATAAGTTTTTGTCAACCAGCAATGTTAGTGGCAGTGTCAGTGTTAAGTCGTCCAATTACCACTTTAAAAAAGAAATGAAAAATTTATATAGTTTTAAAAGAGCTGTGTCACGAAAATTATCCGAAACTTCAAACTTTATGATGCGAACTGACACCAAATTGAGTGAGACATGAAAATATCCGCTCAAAACGTGAAAAGAATGTATAAAAAATACAGCAAATGCAAAAGTAAACGCGAATGGACAAACTCGGAAGAAGATGAAGCGGATTGCCATTGTGGTTTGAAAACTTGTTAGCCTTAACAGTTGTTCAAAGTTCATCCTTTTTATTCCTTGAACGTCAGATGTAATGCTAAGGAGACATATTTGTTTGTCATGATCCATCCGTGGAGACTCAGGGGCGATCATTTAGGTAAGGAGAAACGGCTGCGATAGAATTTAAGAACGGTTGAGAGAACCCCTGGGATGCTACTCTTAATGAACCAGTTCCACGACTCCTTAAAGTCCTGGTTTCTGATTGGGCATAAAAACAATTTCGTGTCTAATCCGAGGCGAACATCTATCGCACTGCTTTCATGATCTTATTCGATGAAGAATACCTGCAAACTCAACTGTTCTCCGTATCTGTCTGGTTTAGGCAGGAGAGCTTTCTTTAAGATGAAGTTTCGGTGAAAATGGGTCCCAAAATCAAAAAACAAAGAAATTCGATAATGTTAGCAAAACAAGACGAAAAATGCACCAACCGAGGAAATTACACTGTAGACTGAGGGAAGGCAGTTCGTAAACATCAGAGTACTTCTAGGTTTGTTAATGCAATTCTACAAGTTTACTCTAACAGTTTCGTTTGATCCACTTGTGTTCAACCCCGTCCCCTGGGCTTTTCCCCCCCAAAAAAAACAATGGGAGGGGCGGAAAAAGGCCCCCTTTCGCGCCCCTCCCAGTTTTTTTAGGAAAAAGCCCTGGCGACGAGGTTGACTTGTGTTACTAAAAAGAAAAATTTAATAACAAACTTACAAACTTTAACAAAGGGCGAAGAAATTTCTTCTGCATGTGCCTTGCAAGTATGTTGAACAGTCGTAAATAGCATGCACACGATTTTGCATGAACAGCTCAGCTCAACTCTTAGGTGTTTACGAATTTACCATCGATTAGTCCACAGCCTGATTTCCTTAATCAGTGCATTTTCCTTTCGTGTTGTTTTGCTAACATGCTAAATTAAATTGTAGGGTATTTCCGAATAACCTCACATTTATGATGCATGCATGTTTCCCCTTTATTCAAATCAACTATTTGTGCGAAATAATATGAAAAGAAATTTATTGTGTTATACGGAAATTTTACCAGTTATGGAATTTCTTGGTTTTGTTGGCCCCATTTTCGCTGAAAACTCTCTTCGAAGAAAGCTCTCCTGTACAAGCCAGACAAACAGACTCACAGTACGGCGAACAGTCGAGTTTGCGGGTAAACTTGCGCGTATAAGACCGAGAAAGCAGTGGTGGCCTCCGATTGGGCACACAATTTTTTTCTTGCCCATCATAGACAAGCATTTGAATGAGTCGCGGAACTGGTTTGTCAAGAGTAGACTCGTAATAGCTATCTCACCCGTTCTTGAAAGCTTTCGCTGCCATTTTCCCCAACCCATCCGCCCCTGGGTCTACGAGGATGGACATGACTCAGTGTTTTTTTCTTTTACAAGTAATTTCTTCGCAAATGTTAAAGTTTATTTCGAGTAAGGAGGAGTAATTGCTGATATTAACAAAATGAACTCAACAGACCTGACACAAACCCTTCAATACTGCACTAACAAATCAATAATAAGGGAAACTTTCTATAAGGTGCCTTAAATTGGACAGCAGTCAACGAGAACATTGGCGGATCTTGGGAGGTTTCTGAGGAGCAGGGCCGAAAAATTATATTTTCGAGACCGGACCTCCTCTTTTCTTAGGGTCTTGATGAGCGGGCCCTCAATCCGCCAGTTAATCTTGTACCCAGGTCTCTCGTTGTCGGCTTCGTCAACAAGGGATCTGGGTATGAGATTATCCGCCAATGTTAAGTGCAGCATACGACGACGCACTGACCTAGTTGAACTTATAAACCACAATTGTAGTTCATTTGTTGCTCTTTAGGCAGGAATTTTGTCATAGTTACTTAAATTGGAGCTCAAACAAAAAAATGCATTTCGAATTCGCACGTTTCTATTTCTTTCTTATTCATTTGGAATTAAAACCAAAAATACTGTCATACGCTCCCGTAGTTCCCTTGTAAACCAAACCAGATTCCAGACCAAAATGGGCAAAGTCTACACCCCTTTTTATGACCAAAGAGGCCCGAAATCCTACTCTATGGGGTGGCACATCTGGCCTATATGGCTTATATGAGGGAGTACCCCTTCGGGTCTATACACATATTTGATCACATTGTCTGACGAAAAGAGTGGAACAATGCTTAAAAAGGCCTTAAAAACGGGTTTTGTAGATAATGAAGGACAATCAGGTCCTTTGTCATTACTCAGTAAAACCTCAGGTAAATGTCAATTGTCTGTCAGTTAAATTTTAGGTGATTTGTCTGTTGAAATTCTGGGCATTTGTCAGTTGTCAGTTAACCCCATCCAGACCCTCTTGTAAGTAAAGTTGCCATGTCATGGGCGGATCTAGGGGGAGGGTGCAGGGGGTGCGCACTCCCCCCACCCCCCACCTGAGATGACCTGAGGTTTTCTAATACAACTGGTATTCTGCAAAAAAAAAAAAAAACTATGTGGTTTATTGGTGTTGAAGTAGAGCAAGAGACGAGTGCACCCCCTCCTAAAAAAAATCCTGCAGATCCGCCCCTGTATGTTATGTTGTATAAATGGGTTTAAACTACTAG